GAGAGGGTTTGGAAGGAGATAGGAGACGAGGAGGAGACATTGGACACGGAAGGGTTCGGGGGGTTCAAGAAGAAAGTCAAGGAGATGCTAGAAAGTAGGGAGGAGGCAACCCTTCGGAAGAAGGTACGAAGCGAAGACCACTTGGAGATATACGGGAAGTTGAAAGAAGGGATAGGGATGAAGAGTTGCTCGGACGGCCCCATGGACTACGCAAAAAAACTGAAGTTGCAATTTCGAGTAGGCGATCTGGACCTGCCAGAACGGAGGAAGAGTCCATGTGGCAAATCGGAGGAGAGTAGACCCCACATAGTTGGGGAGTGTGAGCTGTACAGGAAGGAAAGAGAAGATCTCGAGGAGGACTTGAGACAGAGAGGGTGTGACATGGACAAGTTTGGTAAATTAGACAACAGCGGAAAAACGATCGCGGTAATTGGGGATAGATGGTGGGCACAAGAGGCCGTAGAGGACGGGGATAAGATGTGCAAGGAGTTTTTATGTAGTTTGTGGCAGAAACGTAAAGAGCTCCCAAATGTTGGTGGTGTCTCTAGTAGGGGTAGGAACGGTGCTCCGTCTCGAATGGGACGCGTGGTCAATGGTCAAATGACTACGGCAAGCAACATATGAGTACCCCCCCTCCCCCGGTTCCGTCGTCTCCGGCTGTTTTTTTTTGGTGCGTGTGGCTCGGACACAACGCCCCCTTTGCTGCTGCATGACCGTCGCCTTCGGTCATGAACTAACAACCATGATCGTCGCTGTCACTCCTTGTGTCATCGCTGTCGTTATCGGCGTCGTCCTCGGAATCAGATGCGCCCTTGGTGGACCCCCTGATCCAAGACGTTACTCCGGCCGCCTCGAACGTGCTTGGCATCCTGTACTTCGGTTGCCTCTACGGGCTTACTGGACACCTACAGGTAGGAGGTGGCCGCTGGGCTGGTGGTGGTTGTGACGGTGGTGCTAGGCGCCTTGAGACTGCTGTTTAGTTTTGTGTGATGATGGCCTTCGCTGCTGTTGCTGTTGTCATTGTTGTAGCTTCTGTTTGTCGTGTTTGGTGTGACTCATTACTGCGTTGCGTTTTCCTCTCACTTTTCCCTGCTGCCGCATGGCAGTGCGGAGCCCTCCTGGTGGTATTCGTTTGCCGTGCCGCCTGGTCCTTCCTAAGCCCCTCTTACCCCAGCCGCGCTCAAATCGCGGACGCTTGTATGCTTACACCTTTGTCCTCCGCTGTGCTACACAAACGCAGGCCATCCCAGAGATTTTCGAGTGGAAGCGGCACTTCGAGAGAGAGCGGGCGGGAGGGATGTACTCAACGACTGTGTACTGGCTGGTGAGCTTTTTTTGCTGTTAGCGGAAACACAATACGTTGTAACTGCTTTTGGTGAGAGTTTTGTTTTTGCGATAAACGAAAACCCATGGTTGTGTTGTAGCTGCTGATGTTTTTTGGCGATCGTTTTAATGGGACAACAACGGTTCGCTGCGACTGGTGCTTTTCGTGCGCACGTGATGGTGCTCCCGGACGGCCGCGGGTAGGTTTAGAGTGAAGGTATACACGGCACGCGTATGATATGCTGCTACAGCACGATGTCAGTCACCACTCCACGCCATCATTCTCAAATTTTGTGACCGAGGAAGCGTGTCTCGAGGCATTTTTTCCGGACACAACGTGGCGAAACAGAAGACACCAGGAGACGTGTTAACCTCTTTGTAGACAACGCATTAGGATGACTTGTCGACCAACACGTTAACAACACAGATTCCACTTGCCGCCCCCCCCCGTCGTCGTCGTCGTCGTCGATCTCCCGCCCTTCTGCACCCCTGCAGGTGAGCTCGACCGTGCACCTGCCAATCATCCTGGTGGGCTTTCTGGTGTACCTGAACGTGTGCTACTGGGCCCTCGGCTTGCCCCACGAGTACGCCAAGTTCTTCATCTTTTCGGGGATCGGCCTCATGTCCACGCTCATGGGCTACTCGCTGGCGCAGACGCTGTCCGCGGCCATGTCCACTCCTCAGGCACGGTTGTTGTAGTTGTTGTTGTAGTTGTTGTTGTTGTTGTTGTTGGCTTGGCGTTGACAATCGTTATGGTCTCTGCTCAGTACTCACCCCTGACGTGCCTTCTGGTCTAACGGGTGTGCCTTTGAGTGCCATTTTCCTCGAGTGCCTGCCACGATACGAGTGCGTCATCGAATGCATCGGGCGACGGATCACGACGCGCACGCCACAGCAGACCCACAAAATACTTGCAAACTGGAACAGAAACCAAGCACAGCGGTGGCTGTTTGCGCGGATCTTGGTACAAGTAGTTGTCGCCTACGAAGCCATCTTCCCGACGAGCTCGCTAGCTACCCCGCCTCCAGCGCCCCCCCCCCCCCCCCCCCCCCCCCCCCCCCCCCCCCCCCCCC